AGAATTGAGACAGTTGCGACTTCTCGAATGTAGTTCAGATAGAAATAACCACACTTCCTAAACATTGCAAGCAGTTACTCTCCTCATTTGATACACCGCGAACGTTGTGTACTCATCGTTGATGGGTTCTTCGAGTGGTATACTAAGAAGGATGGAAGCAAAACACCATACTTCATACGATTCAATAACGATGTTGCTGAGAAACCTTTGCCAAGCGAAGATGCAATGGGTGAGATGTGTTCGTTGAATGTACTATCCCAGTTGCCTTATTCCTCGGAGCAGATCTTCCAATTGAGGACGACGCCTGGCCAGTTGAGCAGCAGTTCTGGGAAAGTGCGGGAACTATGCGTGAACCTTTGCTCATGGCCTGGTAACCTCTCTTAATTACTGATGAGCATCATGAACAGCTGTTTGTTAGTCTGTATGCACCTCCTGTGGTGGAAGGTGATCCACACAGTTTCACCATTATGACGATGGAGTCGGCTGGTCCCGTCACTAAAATTCATGACAGGATGCCGGTCCTATTAACTCCCGAGTGTGCAGCGGAATGGATAGGTAACGTTCACACACGGGCTCTCTGCTACTCTATCAGTACTGTTTGTGTTACCTAGATCGATCGAGGGCATCAGACACTGCATTATTGCGCAAGATAGCAGAGGTCGCTCGTGAAACAGCCAAGCAGAGTGTTACAGCATACGAGGTCCCAACACTGGCCAACAACATACGGAATGATGTTCGGGATTGTCTACTTCCACTATCAGCATGGAAAAAGAAACAATTCGACAATGGGCTAGGTAGATTCTTCAAGAAGGCTGCCAAGAAACAGGAAACCGAGGCTCCTGAACGGCAGCCTGATGATGCGAAAGACCCGCCAGCCAAAAAGAGAAAGGCTGAATAATATCATCGAGTTTCTGACAAGCTCTGATCGTCTTTCTTTGAGATGATCAATAGTACCAAGTTAGTACCATTTTTAATTGCTGGGAGATCGAGTTACCAATAGGGATGGTCAATTAGAGTATGAGTACTGGATTGTATGTGAAGATGTGAGCACGTATCGTATCGCATTGAACAGTGACGCTATCATGTCACCAATGTCGTTCCCGATGATGATGAACACAATTCAGTTGCTATCAGACAATTATTGTCAGCAATTCTTTTGGGATTGATCTTCTGTGTTAATTTATAGATAAGTTCATTTGGAATCCACTTGATCATACCGGAGGGATGTATGGACCTCCCGGTGGAGCGAACATCAATTGAACATGATAACGTATCACTGAGAACGATGATACTGTTACCATCGGTTACGGTTGGCCCAAGAACTAGAGTATATTAAGCCAAGGTATACGCTCAGCTCCTCATATTTACCACTCGGACACCAATACACCAATACGATATATTAGAAACTATCGAGCACAGAGCACTATCATGGATTACCCGAAGGTCTACTAATGAGACCTAGCCTTCTCCAGCTGTATACGACTGTGATGTAGCCGCTGATGGAGCAACGGCCTGTCCAGTTCGCTGAAATCATAACTTGTTGGACTAGTGATATTTACCCCTCTCACCCGCATTCCTGTTGCCTGCACCTTCGTCGCATATTCCTCTAGTTCACCCTTCTCATACTTGCCTGACCACGTATGATGGAGTTTATTGACCAAGGCGTTGTGGGTGGCTTCCAGTTGGTACGTGTAGTAGAGATAGGAGAATGATAAAAGGAGACTCAAGCCAAATAATTTACGTGTTGGTCTGATGAGGTACTTCGTGGGAACTGAGGAGAAGGGGCTCAAGTCGTCTTAATCGGAGGGGCGTCGCGATGCTCATTCCTACCTTTCCTCCGGGAACGGTTAACCATGAAGTATAGTGACGTAGTGAGTGTACTGAATGCCACACTTTGCTTGGCTGATACACGGAAGACCTGCCAGCTAGTCCTAACCCTTCTATCTACCCAACCATCTGAGGTGTTGGGATCGGTGTTCGCTGACGGCTCTCCGGCCGGCTCCATCACTGTACTCCGATCAGGCCCTGTTGGGTGGGCACCATCACTATCCTCTGGTGTGAGTGGGCTTGGTAGTACATTCATCGTTGATGTTGACATTATGGAACTCTACGAGCATAAACACACATCTTTACATGATAGAAAGTCTAACTCATTGGTGAACATTGAAAAAAGAGTCTATTACTCGTGAGAGAACATGTGCTTGATAGGTACAGTAGCCTTATCAAGTGATGAGGTGATGTCATACACGAGTCCCTTCATCTTCATCATATCCATCCTGAACTGACGAATAGGAGTACTCGCCTC